GTCGGGACGCTGGGTAGGGCACAGGCGGCTAGAGTTTGCGGGCGGGGTCCTAGCAGGAGGCATAAATCTGGGAGCTGCCTGCCTTTGCTGGTAGGCACAGCATGAGACTGGAGAAGAGCCCAGGAGGGGGCGTGGACAGAAAGGAGAGAGCCGAGGGGTGAGGTTGGCCCGTTGGGAATCAGCAGGGGAGGGTGAGGAAGGAGGGCCAGGGGCGGGCGCGTCCTGGGAGCCAGGGGAGGAAGGTGAACGAAGAGGAAGGGAACTATGAAAATCTATCCTAGTTCCCTGTTGCTGCTGCCACAGATGACCGTAAACTGGGCTTAAAACAACACACAGGGCTTCCCTGGCGGCGCAGCGGTTGAGAGTCTTTCCTAAGAGGCCTTAGGTCTTCTAGAGAGGATTTTAAAAATGGAATTAGTTCAGATATTTAGTAAAAGCTGAAGTGTTGTACCCCAGGTAGTATCTGCTAAATTACAGAACTTCTGTTTTATGAAAGACTTAATAATTTAGTTGCTTCTTTGTAGTGCATTTAAAGATGTTGTTTTGTTTGAGAAAAAGAAAATTCACCAATTATAATGAAATGAATAGTCCTCCTAGGAAAAATGTGCCCTCCCTCCCTCCTTTTCATACAACTGCTCTTGTTAACATTCTTGCATTTACAAGAGCACTGAAGGACCCTGGCCCAGCAGAGAGTGTATTGGTGTCCTACTGCGGCTCCATAACAAATTCCCACAAACTTCATGCCTTAAAACAACACACATTTATCACTTACAGTTCTGGAGGTCAGAAGTCTGACGCGAGCCTTACGGAGCTAAAAATCAAGGTGTGTCCACAAAGCTGGCTCCTTCTGCAGGCTCTTTTCCGGCTCCTGCAGGCCCTGCACTCCTTGGCTGGTGGCCCCTTCCTCCATCTTCTAGGCGCACGCTCCATCCTGCGTCTGCTGTCATATCTCCTTTTCTCCCTCTGCGTGCATCCTCACATCCTTCTCTGGCTCTGTGCCTCCTTCCTCCCTCTTATGAGGACCCTGTGATGACACCGAGCCCATCCTCATAATCGGGATCATCTCCCATCTCAAAAATCGTAACGCAATTGCATCTGCAAAGTCCCTGATGCCATGTGAGGTGACCCAGTCACCGGTTCTGGGGATTCGAGCTTGGGCGTCCTCTGCCCCTCATGCAAAATACATTCACGCCATCCGAAGGTCCCCCAAATCTCAACTCATTACAGCATCAACTCAAGTCTGAATCTCATCCAAGTCTCCCCAGCTCAGAAATTTCAAATCTCATCATCCAAATCATCTAAATTAGGGGTGGACGAGGCCAGAGAGGAGGAAAACAGCGTTGGCCGGTGGACTTCGCAAAGGGAGGGGCTCAAGCACTGCCTTCCTCCATCAGGAACGTCCCCACTCGAGGCCTCCCGGCTGGGGGCGCCGGGCCCACCCTGCCCTGCTGCCACCCCTGCCCAGGACAAGAGCCCCCGACTTTTCGGCCCAGAGATGCACCCATCTCCGAACCCGAGCCTACGGTCACCGCGTGCCCGCCGCCAACCGCGGAGCCACAGAAACGCCGAGTCCCCCGGGCAGCCTAGAGTGTCCCGGAAGTGGCTGGGGGAAGGCGGAGCGGCGCGGACCGGCGGGGGGCGGGGCGCTTCCGGCCGGCGGTGGCGGCTCGGGGTCCGCAGGTGAGTGGCGTCCAGGCTGGCGCGGGGGCCGGGCGGGCCGCTGGGGCCCGGGGCCGAGCTGCTGGTGCGGAGCCTCCCCCGGGCCCCCGAAACCGAGCTGGTCTCTCCGCAGCCTCCCTCCGAGCCTGGCCGGGGCTCCCCCCCGAGGAAGGAGCAGCCCCCGAGGTCCCTTCGCCAGGAAGGAGCCGGCCTGAGACCTGGCTGCTTTCTTTTCTTTTTGGTTTTTGCCTTTCAGCCCCAAACGTGGTCCCCGGCGTTAGAAACGCTGTCAAAACAAGCCTTTCCCCTAACCTGAGCCGTCCCCCTGCTTCGGGCTGCCCACGGCCCCGCACCTGCGCCCACGAAGGAGGGGTCTGCGTGGGTAACTAACTGCCCGCCTCCCCTCTGCAGGGTGCGCACCCCCATGTCCGCCCCTGACCCAGGACCCCTCCCCAGTCCCTCTTGCCCCTCAAGACCTAATCCAGCCCTTCCTCGGGCCGGAACACTTGTGTCCAGACTATTTTTCTAGTAGTCGCCCCGCTCCCCACACACGCCCTTGCACACTACTGGCTACTGCCGAGGAAACGTGGTTTCTCACATCTTCCTCCTGAATTCCTCAGGCTCTCCTCTCAGGAAGCGCATCTCCCCGCCGACAGGAAGGGGCAGAATGCAGGTGGTGCCCCACTCTTCTCTCTCCTGCCGCAACTCTGCCCCTATGGCCCAAGAGGGTATCAGTGGCAAGGCTTCAAACCGTTTTAATTTTTTGGCCGTGTTGTTTCCTTTTGGCTTAAGAAATTGTTTCAGAAGTAATATCTGAATTTCACTTTTAAAGGAAGTTTTTGTCTCTCCAGCGGGACCGGTGTTTCCATCTCCCTTGTATCAGGCTCAGACGTGAGGAAGCGTCCACAGTGAGCCCGTGTCTGGCGCTGAGCCTCCTCCCGGTGCCACGTCTGGCCCTTCCTCCTGCCTTTTGTGCTTAGAGTCAGTCCCTCGCAAGTGACCGGGGGTCCCCTATTTCCTCCTGGTTTTTACGACGGTTTTATATTAAATGTTTCCTTAAGGATGGATTATGGCCTTTAGTTCCCTCTGCTCTCCACAGGGCCAAGCAGTGCACATTCACACTGTCCCCCAGTAAATATTGCGTTAGCCGAAAAGGTCGTTCGGGATTTTCCATAGCATCTTACGGAAAAGCCTGAACAAACTTTATAGCCAACCCAATAGGATGAAAATAGGTCCCAGCAGGCCCAGCACCTGCACTTTGCAGACCAGGAGACTGACTCAGAAGGGTTAAAGGACGTACCTTGGGCTGGCTGCTGACATGCCTAGGATTTGTCTTTGGGACTCTTGCTACATCTGAATAAACTTCATTTCTGTTGAGCCGTGGTCTCAAGGGGCTACCTTTTTATGTTGCACGCGTGAGTAGTCCTGTGGCCTCACCCGTGGCGTGAAGTTGGACAGAGCCGAGTGTGAGGGTTTGGGAGGGAGGTGAGGTGGGAGTTGCTGCCTTTCCACGCTGGGACCTGGCGACGGATGCTGTCAGCTGCCTGTGGTGCTGCCTCGGTGACTGGCAGTCCCTCCCGGGTGAGAGGGAAGCCAGGGGACACAGCTGGCCGGGAGGGAGAAGACAGGACTTGTGGCAGACACGCCACACGGCCCGAGCAGACCAGCCAGGGCTGGTCAGTGTGGGGATAACAGCTCTTCACTCCTCAGGGGCTGGAAGAAGTTGGCGTTTTACCAGGTGACATGTGACAGGGCTGTGATTCTCACAGGCTGCCCAGGCCAGCCAGGACCATCTGCTAAGTCCTACATGTCTGCTCCACGGAGCAGGGAGGCGGCGGGGTGGGGGGCATTTGGGGAAATTGTCATAAAGGGATGGACATGACTAGCTCGAAGGGACCGTAATGACCCAGATCTTTATGAGGATGAAAGATAGATGATGATGAAAGACAAGTTAAACCAGAGCTGTGGGGTTTATATAAGTCACTTTCCTTTATGTTCTCTTACTAGCTTTAACCAAAGACGTGTATGTCACCTTAAACACCAAGTTTACTACTTACAAGGACACACAACTGATGCAGGAAGACCACCCTGCTCCCAGCGGGGCCAGAAGACAGTTCTTGTATTTTTGTTCCAGCATGAATTAGTAATTTATTCATAGAGTGTTCTCGATCAACAAGTATTCAGGAAGCCCGCTCTGGCCTGGCCCTTTCCAGTGTCCTGTGTGTGTGTAAGGGAGGGAGGGTGCATGTGAGTGTTTGCACGCTCACGTGTGACTGTGCGTCCAGAGGCATCCTTGGCGTCTGAGCATGTCGCTGTGGGGACCAGTAGCTGAGAGACTGGCAGCCCCTCTGGGGGGAGCCCGAGGCCTACCAAGGCCTGGTTTTCTAGAAGCAGTTTGGGGCCCGCTGTCAAAGAGAGGGTTTGAGGGGACCTTGTTTCAGAAGAGGTTTGCAGGTTCCTCAGCCCCGGAAGTCTAGAGGAATCCCTGCCCCCCGCAGCACCTCCATCCCCTGCCTCGGCCGCCCTCAGAGGAACAAGGGCTTTGTGAAGGTGGATAGGTCAGGTGGGCCGAGAGCAGCTACAGCGGGAAGGTTGGTTCTGGAGGTGAGACGTGGCTCTCAGGTCGCCCAGCGCCTATGGCTTCCTTGCTTCGTCCAGTGGCATCACCCTTGGCGTTTTTCCCGGGAGGCCAGGTTGCTTCCAAGAGAGCCACTTTTAATTTGGAGCCATAGTGAGCGACTCAGAGGTCACTTGTGGAAGCTGAGAAGAGCCAGTGTGCCCAGCGCGCCAGGCAGCCCCCCTATGCCGGGCAGGCCTCTTCCCTGCGCCACCTGCCGGCCAGCTCGCGTGTTCATCGCCTCCACGACACCGCCCCCTGCCGCTCCCCAGCACGTCGAAAGTAACGAGGGTGTGCCTACAGTGGTCGAGGCACGGGCTCCGTAACGTTTTTCTTTCTTCCCCCTTTTGCTTTCCAGCTGCTAAGTCACGATGTGCGTGAGAGAGGCACCCACGGCTCAGACGGTGAAATCTCGATTTGCCGGAAACCAGCTCCCGGGACCCCTTTACCCTCCGGTCCGTGTTTGAGGGGAGAAGCTGCCACCGTCCCCGCAGAGAAGGCTGGAGGTTCCAGCCGTGGAAGCCTCGGGCGGCTGACGCTCGTCCCCCCTGCAGAGAGGGCCGGGAAGCTGCCCGGGCCAAGAAGGGGCCTTGGCTCCTGGGGGCCCGCGTCAGCATCAGCAGGACGCCAGTGGGCGAGGGTGGTGGGAGGGGAGGGAGGGTTGGAAAGGCCTCCAGCACTGGCTCAGGTGCGACCCCTGTCGGCCGGGGCGAGCCCGCTCCTCATGGCCTCCAAGCCGGCTGCCGGGAGGAGCCCGGGGGAGAAGCGCAAGAGGGTGGTGCTGACCCTGAAGGAGAAGGTGGACATCTGCCGGCGCCTGGAGGAGGGGGCGAGCAGGAAGGCGCTGGTGCAGGAGTACAACGTGGGCATGTCCACCCTGTACGACATCAGGGCCCACAAGGCCCAGCTGCTCCGCTTCCTCGCCAGCTCCGACTCGGACAAGGCCCTGGCGCACCGGCGCACGCTGCACACGCCCAAGCTCGAGCACCTGGACCGCGTGCTGTACGAGTGGTTCCTGGTGAAGCGCGCAGAGGGCGTGCCCGTCTCGGGCCCCATGCTCATTGAAAAGGCCAAGGACTTCTACGAGCAGATGCAGCTGACCGAGCCCTGCGTGTTTTCTGGCGGCTGGCTCTGGCGTTTTAAGGCCAGACACGGCATCAAGAAGCTGGATGCGTCCAGCGAAAAGCAGGCGGCCGACCACCAGGCTGCAGAGCAGTTCTGCGGCTTCTTCCGGAGCTTAACTGCCGAGCACGGCCTGTCCCCCGAGCAGGTGTACAACGCCGATGAGACCGGCCTCTTCTGGCGCAGCTCGCCCAGTCCCAGCCCGGAGGGCGGGGCGGTGCCCGGCCCCAAGCAGAACAAGGACAGGCTGACCGTCCTCATGTGCGCCAACGCCACGGGCTCCCACAGGATCAAACCCTTGGTGGTCGGGAAATGCGGCGCCCCCAAGGCGGTCCAGGGCATCCAGCACCTGCCTGTCGTGTACAAGGCCCAAGGTAACGCGTGGGTGGACAAGGAGATTTTTACTGACTGGTTCCATCACATCTTTGTGCCCGCGGTGAAGGAGCACTTCCGAGCCGTGGCTCTGCCCGAAGACAGCAAGGCCATCCTCCTGCTGGACGGCTCCCGCGCCCACCCGCGGGAGGCCGAGTTGGTTTCGGAGAACATTTTCACCATCTTCCTGCCCGCCAGCGTCACCTCCCTGATCCAGCCCATGGACCAGGGCATTCGCAGGGATTTCATGAGGAACTTCGTCACCCCTTGCGGCACGCTGCAGGCCTTCACCCCCCGCTGCAGCGTGCACGACGCCGTGCTCGACGTGGCCTGTGCCTGGAACGCGGTGCCGGGCGCCGTCTTCAGCCGGGCCTGGAGGAAGCTGTGGCCCAAGGTCACGCTCGTCGAAGGCTCGTCTTCAGAGGAGGAGCCCGAGTGCCTCAGGACGAAGCCTCCCGACCAGACCTTCATGCACATCCCCGGGCTCGGGGGAGGCGCCCCAGCCCGCCTTGGGAGCGCGGCCACGGGGAGTCCCGAGCTGGCCGAGGCGGGGGTGGGTGACGAGGCAGCCTGGGAGCAGGCGGCTGCATCCTTCGATGCTGTGGTGCGCTTTGCGGAGGGGCAGCCCTGCTTCTCGGCACAGGAGGTGGGCCAGCTGCGCGCGCTGCGCTCTCTGTTCGGCAGGCGGCAGCAGGCACAGCGGTGCAGGGCCCTCAGGGCCTCAGTCAAGCTCGAGGCACCCTGGGAGCACGCTGGGCCTCGCGGCGCCCCGCCTCGCTCCCCTCTGCCCGGCTCGTCCACAGCGGGTGAGGCCTGAGGCAGCGGGGCCTGACCTGCAGTCTCAGGGGTCACGTCCCTCAGGACGGCCCGCCCCATCGGGGTTTTGCCGTATGGCCTGTCGTGCCACATGGGCGCCGGGGGTCTTCCTGAAGGGCCCACCCAGACCCAAAACGTACCGGAGCCTCTGGTGGCCGGAAGCCAGCCTCGTGTTTGCTGGCTGAGCCTTGCTGTGTCCGAGGGTGGAGATGTCTCTCTGTCCAGGTGGGGAAGAGCCGCCTTCAGCCGACCAATGGCGGTACCCGCTGACACTTGACAGGGCTGGCACTTCCTGTGGCCCACCGCTCCCCTCCTCCGGGACTCAGTCTGCTGGTCTGGGGGCCAGCCCTGAGTCGGGCAGGTCACCGAGGGCGGGACTCAATACGAATAAGAGTCGGTGTGGCCCCTGCCAGTGGCTCTACAGGCCACACGTCCCCCTTCAGTCGTGTGCTCACGTAGCAGCACAAGTCTCTCAGAGTTTCTCCACGTTGCCAGCACATCCCGCCTCTCAGGCTCAGACCCCAAGATGCAGCAGGCTGCACGCCTACTTGATGTGGTAGAATTGCTCCGTTAAAGCCAGCAGGAGTGGGCGGCTGGGGTGCCCGTCACCCCAACGTGGGGCTACAGGGCACTGTCAGTGTTTCGAGCATCTTGGCTCCGAGTCCAACCTACAGGCCTCGTCCCCCAGAATCTCACATTTACAGCCTCTGCATTAATAAACTTTGACCAGATGTTCAGAAATTAGCCTTAGGCGATATAACAAAAACAGTAAAACATGCAGCTGAGCTGTCTAGCAGTATTTGAACTCCTATTTTCAGCTGTTTGCCCCGCAGTGATTCACGCGGGGAAGGCTGGCTGTGCTGGTGTCTTGTAAAGGCCGATTGCGGGATGACGCGGCTGTGCTTCCTGTGTTGCAGCTGATTCCCAGCCTCTCTGTTCTGCCGTGTTGCTCGTCGGCACAGCCGCAGGACAGAGAGCCCCTTATCGGCCGTGGTCGCCCTCTTCGAATGTACGTGAAATGGGTGTGCTTTTCTGTGCTCTTTTCACTGCTCCGCCTTCAGTTGCATCCCCTTCTTGGGTAGCTGAATCGGCACATAGTTTTCATTCCTGTGTTTGTTGCGTGCCGAGAGCCCTCCGTGAGAGCCGAGGAGAGGTGAGGGCTTGCCTCGCAGTCGGTTTCTCTGGTGTTTTTACATCTTTCCAAACAGTGAGGTGACAGTCATGGCTGGCCTGGCACTGCTCTGTGGACCGTGTGTTTCCTGCTTTAAATGCGTGTATGAAGACTGTGAAACAAGCACAGATAGTTTTCACAGTGTCGTTGCTGATTCTTTGGGCCAGGTTGCCTCCTGCTGTGTTGTCACATCGGTTTCCTTCCCGTGTTTGGGGCGACATCTGTGCACCGTGTACCTTTGTGCCACTTTTGGACTCCTGTGCGTCCCCTGTGCGGCTGAATTGCAGCTGCTTGAGGTGTTGACAGGGTTAGATGTCAGGGGCGGCAGCGTGGAGATGGACGGACACGTGGAGAAGCTCCCTCCCCACTGTCAGCCCCTCGACCCCAGCCCAGTGGTTCTGGAGTAGCGGGACTGTGCTGGGGGGCGCGGGTGGAACCGGCTCTCCTAGGCCCCCCGTGGGTGCTCTGTCCCCACCAGCCTGTAGACCCCAGGCCAGACTCCTGTTCTGCCCTCACAACCTGCCCCCGTCCTGGCTGTGTTGCGGACGATCAATGAGCACGCGTCACCGACCAGCTGAGGGTGTCCTCCTTCCAGGACCAGACACGCCCCCTGTGCTGCGTTGTTCTTCAGGGGGCAGGACTCGGCCCTGCCTGCTTCCCTCTCCCCTGATGAGCCAGCACGCCCCCTCCTCATGGCCTCAGTGCTGGAGATCCTGGGCGGTGCGAGGTTTCTCGGGGTGCAGACTGAGGTGCAGCGTGAGGTGCGTGTGCCTGGGGAGGACCGGAGCCTGGCGGCGCCCAGCTGCCCATGGGTGCCCCCGCCTCTGCCCTGCCCCCGAGTGCCCACCCCTGGGGCTTTGCTCTTCACTCACCATCCAGTTTCTGAGAGGCTCAAGGGGTCAGAATGTTCTGGTCTCAGAATCTTTCCTAAACAGTCTTAGGGGGCCCCACTGGACTGCGTGCGAAATCGGAGCCGGGTGGGAAGGCCTCCTCATCCGCCCGTGCATCGGCCCCTCTGTCTCCTCTCCTGAAGCCCCCGGGGGCAGTGGGGTCTCCGTCCCGCTGGCAGAGCCTCTTCCAGGCCCCCTGCTCACCCTGCAGGGGCAGCGAGCTCAGGCACAGCGGGAGTGGCGCACACTCCTCCCGCCCCAGGCAGGCAGCACCGGTGCCCTGGGATAAGCCCAGGAGTCGTCCCTGTCGGGACTCGGCGGGCCCCTTCCGGTCTGTTTGCCCGCCTTGACCTTCCCCCTTCTCGGTGGTCAAAACGACTTGGCAGACCCCGAGCTGGGAGGAAGCTGCCTGCGGCCGCACCATGTCCTCAGCCTCTCCTTCCCTCCACGGGAGGAATCGGGGCGTCCCCGGAGCTGGGCGAGCAGCAGGTGTCACCCCTGCCTGTGGTGGATAAGGGACCGTTCCTGGGCACTGCCTGCAGTGCCGGGATCCAGGGAGAGGAGACCAGAGTCTGCTGGGAGGCCTGGGGCCCCCGACTCAGGACAGGCAGCCTCCGCCGGGGTTGCCCCTTGCCTGAGCCTGGCCGAGCAAAGGCTGGACTCGCAGGTTGTAGATGGAATTCAGGCATCTGCCAGGGGGCTGGGTGGGTCGGTGGTCCTTCACAGTCTCTTTTGCTTTGGATCTGCTGCCTGCAGTGCCTGCTCCCCAGTGCTGGGGGGTCTGCAGGCGCCCCAGGTTAGACCCACAGTGTGGGAGGTCCTGGAGGTCCTCCAGTTGGGGAAGGCTGAGCCTGGGGTGAACTGCCCTGCCTCACCAGTGTTTCCTGCGGGGTGCGGGGGGGAGGCAGCTGAGGCCCTGCCCTGGGCGTGTCCACGTGGTAGCACTCACACCTCTGGTGAGCCAGGTGGTGGGGTAGGGGGGATTGGAGGGTGGGTGGGTGGAGGGCAGATGAATGAAGAAAGGAAGGAAGGCAGTTGCAGCCTCTGCTTGGACCTTTTTCGGCCAGGATTACCCAGGTCGGAAGGCAGAGCCCTTTGGAGGCAGCTCGGGACCACCGTAGCCAGATGTTTCTGGAGGGATGGAGGTCGGCGGCAGGGACACACGCGGCTTCTGTTCCTGGGAGGCTGTGGCACAGGGACAGCAGAATTTTGGGCAAACAGGACCTGCCTGGGCAGCCCCAGGAAGGAGGCATCCACAGGCACCCGCTTCAGTGGGTTTTCTTGGTTCGTAAACGTGCTTCTGTTTCATCCATGCGTAGCGTTGCTCAGCGCCTGCTGCGTGCTGGGCGTCGGGCTCAGCTCGAGGCCAGAGGGTGGTCAGACAAAGTCCCTGTCCTGCTTCCAGGGAGCACAGGTCTCCCGAGAAGGGCTGCTGGGGCGGCCGCGCTGTCTGGCAGTTGCGTTCCCGGGTCGCAGCCGCCGTGTCCGTGAGGACGCGGGGCACGTTGCCGAGGGGAGGCTGGGTTGTGTGTGAGGGTGCTTCACCTGCGTGGCAGGCCCGGCAGGCCTGGATGGCTGCCCCTTCCACCTACCGCTCAGCTCCGGAAGCAGGGCCGTCACTCACCCCCAGCCCCAGAGCTGTGCTCGGAGGCTCTTCCCGGGGAGGAGCGGGCTGTGGGACAGAGCTCCTGGCCCCTCTGCTAAGGAGCTGACTTAGTTTGCTGCAGTGTGGAGTGCAAGCCTCGGGCAGCTCTCAGAAACCGGACGTGGTGGAGAAAGGCCAGGGGGAGGAGCTTGGTAGATTTACTGGTGATGCAGGCTAAACTGTAGGCTGTCTGTGGGTCAGGGAAGAAAATCTCAAGCACTGATCTCAGTATCTATTCCTTCAAAGGAGCCAAATTTGACTGGATTGGTCTGAGAAGCAGCTTACACCCAGGGCATTGTTAAAAACAACAGAGCAGCCGGCTAGCTGTGAGTAGGGACCACACAGAGCTTTGGTAAAACCACTGCCATGGGGTGGGAGGTGGGTGGAGTGGGGGCCTGCTGGAGGCCACACCCCTGGGAAGGAGCATGGGGGCTCCGTCAGGGGCTGCGGAGGAGCCACTGAGGTGACCCCGCCAGCCAAACACAAAACAAGCAGATAACAAGTCCCAGTTTGCGGTGACCAGTACCCAGAGTTGGTACGATATATTTCCTAAAAGGATCAGTTTCCAACCAAAAATTATGAACATGCAAAGAAACAGGAAAATATGGCCACATACCATATTGTTACCAAAAAGCAGGCAACGGACACTGCCTCAGGGAGTGAGATGTTGGATTTAACAGGAAGAGACTTCAAATTGGCCTTTACAAATGTGGTCAGACAACGAAAGGAAACCATGATTAAAGAAGTAAAGGGGGAAAAAAGAAAGGAAGGTATCAAGTAGAGAGTATCTATAAAAAGATTATAAACAAAAACTGATTTTAAAAAACCTGGAGGGACTTCCCTGGCGGTCCAGTGGTTAGGACTCCGCGCTTCCACTGCAGGGGGCATGGGTTCGATCCCTGGTTGGGGAGCCAAGATCCCACATGCCATGGGGCGTGGTCAGAACACAAACACACCCTGCTTCTGTGACCATCTTAAAGGAAACTCAGCTATCTTAATTAAGAATAAACACATGACACCTTAATACAAGTATTAAAAAAAAGCAACAAAAAAAATTCCTCTTAAAAATAATCCCATGGAAATTCCAGAGTCGAAAAGTATAACAGATGAAAAGTTCACTGGAAGGGCTGTACAGTAGATGTGGACTAACAGAATTGGCGATCTTGACAGCACTCGAGATTGACAGAGATTATGCCATTCAAAGAACAGGATGAAAAGAACAAAGAAGATGGATGGTCTCAGAGCCACGTGGGACAATCTCACCCACTGCCCAGAAAGGAAGGCCGAGGCGGGGGTAGCAGCCTGGTCCTCCGTCGTGGGTGGAGGTCGTGACGCTGGGCCCTGAGCCCTCCTGAGCCACCGCTGCTGCCTGCCGCCTCTCCTACCCAACCGGGCCTACGGGGGGCACAGGCCTTCGCGGGTTGACGTGGGGCCCGTCCCCGTGACGGCCCCATTTCACGGAGGGGTCCCGAGGCCTGCCCCAGACCGCACACTTCCCGCTGTGTGACGCCCGGTCAGTGTGGCCACCGCTCTGGACTTTGGACAGGAGGGGATTCTTGGGCAGTGCTGGAAGGGTGGGCTGGATACCCCAGGCTCAGTGGGGGAATGGCCACATCCCTCTGACACGTGAGCAGGCACAAAAAGCCCATCGCTACCGGAAAAAAAAAAAAAAAAAAAAAAGCCCATCGCGCTGGCCAGGGCCCGGGAACTGGGCTGTGGAAGCGAGTCCTGCTTCTTGCCGTGAGCAGCCTCAGTGAGGAGAGGAGCCAGAGGCCCAGCGGGGTGGGGGCCCCAGCGTCGCTCCTGGGGTCTGGGTTTCACTGGCTGCCCCCGGCCCCTGGCAGAAGCCGGGCTGTGAGGTGTGGTTGTCACCCCTCTGACACAGCCTCTCCAGGGATGGTCTTCCAGCCTGGGGCCAAGGGGTGTGTGGATGTGGAAACTGCAGGGGGTTGTGGCACCCTCACAGACCCTTCCAGACCAGGGGCCTGGTCACACGCTGAGCCCTTTGTTCTGTCTTCAGGGTCTGCACAGTGCCCTCTGCTGGGCTCATGAGGGAGTGTAGGTGGCCCCAGCCTAGAGGCTTGAAGGAGCTGGAAGGTTCCTGATCAGCCAGGACTCAGGGATCTGCTGTGCTTGGCCTGGGTGAACCCTGACCCTGGTCCCACACTGAACCTGGCCCTGGTCCCACGCTGAGCCCTGGCCCTGGTCCCACGCTGAGCCCTGACCCTGGTCCCACTCTGTGCCCTGGCCCTGGTCCCACGCTGAGCCCTGACCCTGGTCCCACTCTGTGCCCTGGCCCTGGTCCCACGCTGGGCCCTCAGCCTGGCCCCCATGTTCTCTTAGCTCATAAGGGCAAAACCAGGGAGCCTGGAGCCCTGTGTAGGTTTCACTCCTGGGGGAAGGCAAGAGCCCTTGCTGACCTCCTCCCTCCTCCCCCACATGTGACTCAGTGCTCTCTGTGGTCACAACACTCCCCCTCCTCCGCCTCTGCCCCAACTCCAGGTGCAGTGCGGTTCCAGGTCCTGGGTGACAGTCTCCCGGGGGTGGAGAGTGACTGTGAAGCTGACTCACTGCACGGCGGGGGAGGTGTGAGTGTCAGAGCTGGGCTCGCCCAAGTGCAGACCCCAGCTGGTCCAGGCGGCTCCCGGGGGAGCCTCAGGGCTGCGCAAGTCCCTGGTCATCTGGTGGGCACGCGCACACAGGGACCAGAGCCCAGACCCCTCCAGCCAGCCCCATTCGCAGAGACCATGGGGCTCGGGGGCCCAGCAGCCAGCTGCCCTGCCTCTGCCCCTCCCTCTCCAGGGACCTGGGCTCTGGCCTCTCCCAGTCACCAGCTGGGGCCAGTGGCCTCTGGCTGCAGAAGCCAGGCTGTAGGCTTTGCGGTGGGAAGGGCCCCAGAGAGCCCGCCAGGGGCATCCTGCAGGGGCGGGGAACCTCCTTCTCTGTCCAGCCTGGCCCTGTGCTCACTCAGACACAGGTACCACCTCCACAGGCCCGCAGACAGACACCGGTGGAGCCCAGGGGCTGGGAGTCACAGGCTGAGAGAGCTTCCCAGGGGGACACTGGGAGGCCAGAAGAGGTCTGTGAGAGCAAAAGGCCAGTGTCCTGGATGGGGTGGGACCTTCCTGTTGGGGGGCCCTCTGCCAGGCTGTGGTGTCCCGACTGCAGTGGGGAACCTCTGAAGGTGGGGATTGGGGGACAGAGGTGTGAGGAGTGAGGAGCTGGGGAGCGGGTGATGGGCAGGCCCTGCGCCCTTGTTCCCCAAGGCTTCGGTGTGAGCTCAGGCCTCCAGACACCGAGACACTGGCCACCACGAGAGTAGGCGGGGCCTCACTGCAGTGGAGAAGACGGACCCCGGCTTTTATGTCTGGACCTGGCAGGAGTGGGGGCCTGTGCCCGGCCTTCCCGCATCCCTGCAGTTTCCCGACAAGGCCTGGAGGAGGCCCTGCTCCCCACTTCCAGATCAGGACCCCACGGAGCAAGGGTGAGGTGGTCCTGGGTCTGGGTCCCGACCCTGTATCCTCCAGGCTCGCTCTACGTCTCTCCGCCACAAGCAGCATACCTGCAGCCTGGCCAACAGCTAGTGGGAGGCTGAGGCCCCACTGGCAGGAGATGGAGAAACGGGGAAGGAGGGCGAGAGAGGGCCGGGGGTAGGGGGCAGCCGGAAGAGGGGTCTAAGGAGGGATCTGTTAGCTTAGGAAGCAGCTTGGGCCCCAGGATTCTCCTCTGAGAAGGGGGCTCAGCTGCGGTTTCCAGCGAGTGGGCATCTGTTCCCTCATTTTATTAATAAAGCAGAACAGTGATGTCACTGTGGGGTCTCCTTGAGCCAGCCACTCCACTGACCGATTCTTCCTAATTGCGAAAAAGGAGTCTAGGTGTCCTTGGGAGGCTCTGCAGCAGATTCCACGAGGCCTTGAGTTGCTGCCGTCCACTAGACGTGGGCGTCTGGGCTGCCCCGCCATCCTAGAAGGGGGGCCCAGCCAGCAGGCGCGGTGACCTCGGCATTGAGGCTCAGGCCGCCAGAGAGATACTGCTGGGCACCAGGCTGGCAAAGCAGCCTGGGCCGGGGGAGGGCAGCTGCTGCTACGCCCCAGCTGGAGGCCTGGATGAGACTGTGGGGGCAGCTAAGGGTGAGAGCTTGCGGTGCCGGCCGGCCCAGTTCAGTGCCCGTCTCCTTGCCTCCTGCGGCTCCGCTGTCACCTCCACCCCAAGCAGCACTGGTCCTCGTTCAGCGGTTTGTCACTGAGAGGACTGAAGGTCGGACGTCAGAACACAAAATGGGTATTTCCGCAAACGCTTCGAGGTTCACCACCCCCCTCAGCTCTGGTTCTCACAGGAAGGGACTTTCTTCTTTAGTGACAGAAAGTTTCTCCCAGCTTGTTTGCAAGAACGGGGGCTGGAAGCCATGCTCTGTTGAGGGCAAGCACGGTGCTCCCCGCGCCCTGCCCCGGGTCCGCGCGCGGCCCACGCTGCAGTTGCATCTGATCTGTCCGACAAAGCGGAATCTTCCAGACACTTGACGACAGGGCCTCGCCCGACCACTGGGTCACAGCTGTCATCCCATGATTCAGACACCTGTTGGAGACTCTCCTGGGGGGCTGGAGATGGGGCCACCTGGACAGACAGCCGCCCACTGCCCCCAGAGGGCAAAGTTGTCCTTATATAGGAAGCAACGGTCTGGAGTTGGACGGTGAACTCCTTTTCTCCAATTAGGAAGGTGGGTTCAAGTGTGTGGCCACAATAATGAGCACGACTGGAACTTGAGCCCAGGTCTGCCTCCCTCAAGGCCCTCACTCTTCATCAGTGAAGTGCACCGCCAGCCAGAGGGCAGGTGGGTCAGGGTGGTCGTGTGGATGGTGAAGGTGGTGATAGTGATGTTGATGGCTGTGCTGGGAATGACGGTGGGGTGCGGTGGTTGCGGAGGGTGGAGAGGAGATGGTGGGACACAGTGACAGTGGTGATGGTTGTATGTATTGTGCGTAGTGGAGGTGGTGGCTTTGACGGTGGTGACAGGAGTGATGGGGGGTGGAGAGGACGGTGGGGGTGGGGATGGTTGATGGGGGGTGTGGTAGAGGTGACAGTAATAGTGGTAGTGGATGAGGACGCTGGTGATGGGGGTTGCTATGGTCTGGATGTTTGTATACCCGCCCCCAAATTTAACTGCTGAAATCCTAACCCCTAAGGTGATGGTATTTGGAGGTGGGGGCTTTGAGAGGTGGTCAGGTTATGAGGGTGGAGCCTTGATTTGGATTAATGCCCTTAAGAAAGAGACCCCAGAGAGCCCCCTCGCCCCTTCCGTCATGTGAGGACACAGTGAGGTCTGCAGTCCACAGCCAAGGAGAGGGCTTTCACCAGAACCCTACCACCCTGGCACCCTGACCTTGGATTTCCAGCCTCCAGAACGGTCCGAAGTCAGTTTCTGTTGTTCGCGAGCCCCCTCACCCCCCGCCCCCGTTGGTGGTATTCTGTTCGGAGCAGCCCGGGTGGAGGCAGGCGGGGATGAAGGTGGCGTGGTGGCAAGGGTGCTGGCGCTGCAAGTGGGGAAGTGAGGAGCTCGTGGTGATGGTGGTCGTGGTGGTTTTAATGGTGGAGGTGATGTTGGGGATGGTGGGTGCTGTGGATTGGATTGTGTCCCCCTGCCCAGAGTCATGTGACGAAGCCCTAACCCCAGCAGGACAGTGTTTGGAGATAGGGCGTTGAGGAGGTAATTATGGTGAGAGGAGGTCATGAGAGTGGGGCCCTAATCTGATAGGACTAATGCCTGTATCAGAAGAGGATGATCGCTCTCAGTTTCTCTCTTTCTCGCAAGCCAAGAAAAGGCCCTGTGAGAACACTTCAAGAAGACAGCCATCTACTAGCCAAGAGAGCTCTCTCCAGAAACCTAATGGGCTGCCACCCTTATACTGGACTTCCCAGCCTCCAGAACTGTGAGAAATAAACGTCTGTTGTTTAAGCCACCTGGTCTGTGGTATTTTGTTTCAGGGTTCTGAGCTGACTGAGACAGTGGGGATGGTGAGGGTGATGGTGATGATGGAGGTGGTGATGTTGATGGTGATAATGGTGCTGGTGATGGTGATGACGGTGGTGATGGTGGAAATGATGATGACAGTGGTGATGAGGGTGATGATGATGGTGGTGCTGGTGATGATGGTGGTGATGACGGTGATGACAGTGGTGATGACGGTGGTGATGATGGTGCTGGTGATGACAGTGGTGATGATGATGATGGTGATGACAGTGGGGATGATGATGGTGATGATGATGATGGTGGTGGTGACGGTGGTGATGGTGATGATGGTGGTGATGATGGTGGTGGAGGGGTGGCGGTGGCCATGGAGGAAGTGGTGTGACAACGATTACACAACTTGCAAGTGGGACACTCAGAATTCAGAGCCTGGACCATGGCCCGTGGGTGTCACTTGAGTGCCTCTTGCTGAGGGTGGCATAGGGGAACACAGGTGGCACGTGAGCCTGCAGGCCTGCCTGGGACGGCCCTCCAGGATACCACCTCTCGCCTCCCCAGGCTCACTCTCATCTTGCCAGGGGAGACACCTAGATCCTGTGGGCTCCTGACGTGGCATTTTATGTTTATTTAGAAAAATGCGGTGCCTGCCCAGTTCGGCGAATGTGGCTTCCTCGTGCGGTGCTTAGGCTGTAAATGGAGGGCCCGTTTCCACTTGGCTGCCCCCGGCAGGGGCTGGGGTAGCAGGAGATGGACGGCTCCCCAAGCTGCCCCTGTCCATGGAAGCGGGCGGTAGGCGGTAAGTTGCTGGGTGACGGGCCGGCTCGGATAGGTCCTGGGGCCGAGCTGGGCTGGGAGGAGGGCCTGGGAGGGAGGGCAGCGTGTGGGAGTCCTGACTCTGCAGGGGAGAGGCCAGTGTCTAGGGGTGTCTCAACTCCTCCCCGAGGCTCCGCGGTCTCTGCTCCAACCCGGGTGTGAGGGAGCCAAGCCCCCAAGCCCCACCTGTCGGGGGTACACAGGGCCCTGGGGACAGCCTGGTTCTGGGATGGGCGGCGCCGTCAGGGTGGAGGGCGCGGAGCAGCCCCCAGTCGGTCTCAGCGTCCCCCACCCTCTCCAGGAGGAGGGGTGTTTGGGGCCGTTACCGGAGTGGACCTGCGGGCCTGCGGACGCCTGCTGGCGGCTGGGCCGGAGGGTCTGTGGAAAGGCCCCCGCTTCTCAGCGCAGGGCCCTGAAACCTCACCCCGACCTCCGGGCTGGGGCTGAGACCTCCGCCCCCAAGGCTGCATCCGGGCCTCCCCGCCAGCTCTTCTCTCCGCCCCGTGGTTTGCCCCGCAGCCCTAGATGCGACGCACCCCCGAGGGCCTGGCCTCCTTCTGGGTGGACAAGGACCGGGCCAACGAAGACCGCCGTCTGAAGGAAGGCTGAGCGGCCGGGCCAGTGGGCACCAGGCCTGGATTCAGAGACTGCACAGAGGGAGAGAGCGAGGGAGGGGTGGCGGGAGAGCGCCAGGCGGGGACCCAGGCAGGAGGGGAGCAGAGGGCAGGGGCGGCCGTGGATCTGGGCGGGTGGGCCGTGGCGGGGAGGGCCCTGGAGCCCACCCCTGCCTCCGCCCGAGACCTGAGGGGTCCCAGAGGCCCCTCACCTCCAGCTGAGGGGCAAGGGTGGCACCTCCAGGGAGGACACCTGTCCACAGGGCAGTCACGGGCCAGCGCCAGCACGGGGCGGGGCGAGCCTGCTTCCGGAGCTGGTGGGCAGCGCCGACCCCCAGGACGGCCGGCTCTACCCTTCCTCGCTCTGCGGCCCAACCCGGCCTGAGCCTGCGGCCCCCCAGCCCTGGTGCCGGGACTTCTCTTAGGGGCCCGTCCTCTGATGTGCTGCCCCGCTCCCGCCCCGGGGCCTGATGCCCAGTCTGCGTGGCCAGGGAGGAGTGAGGGTGTGTTTAGAAGAATCCATGAAGTGGGGTGAGGGCGGGGACACCCATGGCAGTCTGGGCTGTGCACCCAGCTCCTCGGCCATCTCAGGCGATTCTTGACTCTTGGGACGTCACAGTCTCCCGAGCCAGCCGGTGGTTAACAGCCGGCTGGAGCTCAGCCAGGGGAAGGAGGCGGAGACAGGAGGAGGCGGGCGCTGTGCCGGGATGGTGGAAGGAGCCTAGTGGTCTGTGCGGGCCTCTGGGGTCTGCACTGGCTTGTAGGGATCAGACAGGCACCCCCAAACCAGGAAGAGGCACAGTGCCAGCGTGTGGTAGGGCAGGCGAATGTCCGAGACATCATCACCCTCCCTGAGCTCCCCCAGCCACCCGGG